TTGGACAACTTCACGATGTGGAGAGGTTCGGGCTTTCCTTCGAGGGACTCCTTATTCCTCAGCTACAACACCCGATCGAGTCGACTCTAGACCTTATCTTTCGCCAACTCCTCCGACGACGCGCGGTCGGGATCCGTCGAGCCAGAGTATATCCACATCGGCCGCCTCCTCTCCGCTAGCGTGGCGACTTGACGGTGGAAGAAGGTGTGGAACACCCGCAGCCCATCGAGGCTGTGCTGCACTAGCTTCTGGAGCTCCGCCTCGATGACCTCCAGCTTGTTTTGCCGAGTGAAGGGACCCCACGACCAGCTCGCCCGCCTCTCCGGCCTTTTTTCAGTGAACGGTGGGAATGGCGCCTCCGCTAGGTTCCTGATGTAGAACCACTCCCCATGCCACCCTTGATTGGAGTCGCAAAGGGAGTACGCGGGGTAGGAGTCCGATGGCCTTGACTTCTTTTGCAAGGCGAAGCCCCCAACCGGCGTGGTCCTAGGCGGCTTCCCCTGCGACAAGGCTCACCCGGTGAAGATCCACCAGAAGAGGTCCACGTGTGGCTCCATCCCGAGGAAGGCCTCACAGACGGTGATGAAGCCGACAACGTGCAGCACCCCAGTCGGATTGAGGTGCTGCAGTTCCAGGCCCCACTCATTGAGGAGCCCGCGCTAGAACCAGTGCGCGAGATATCCTAACCCGCGCTCGTGGAAGGCGAGAAAGGAGAAAACCTCGTCGGCCCAAGGTCGTGGAATAGCCTCCCCCGGCGCAGGAGCCCTCTAGTGCACCACCTCCTTCGACGGAAGCAGCCCCTTCTTGGCGAAGGTGGCCAGCACCACCTCATCTACGTTGGATGGCCTCCAGTTCGACATTGCGCTCTAGATTCATGAACGGATCTATGAGTTCTCCTCTCCCTCGCTTTACCCTCTTTCTCCTAGGAACCGTTGCGGTGCACGAATGGGCTTGGTGAAAATGAAGGAGGAGAAACATCAGTTGGAGAATAGGCAAAGGAATGGAACAAAAACTCTCTCCCTTCCCCTATTTAATGCGGATAGGCATGCGGTAGGACACATCCTGACTGATGGGACGCGCCCTGCCCAACGAAATGACGTCTGGTTGGATAGGACATGGCCTAGGCATGGCCCACCACTACCGCACGCCGGACGTAGGAAACAAGGCGCAACCACACACAAACGGCCCTCTGCCTTCCTAGGCAGGGCTTGGAAGGGCCCACCAATGGGATCTCCATTGAGAAAAGACCAATGGGCTTCCTGAGTCGATCGGACGGCTCAGGCGACTACCGAGAGACAGGTAAGGAGCAGTGGGACGCCCCATGTGGGCCATGCCGTCTCCATTACGAACGACGAACATAGATCCCATTCGGACATATCCGATAAGAACTCCTCAAACCTGTCACTCGAGTCATCAAGGTAACTTTACCAAACCCTCATACTTTATTTTTTGATGCATGATCATTCATTCATCCATTCTCATGCACGCATTCACACATTCATTCATATAATCATTCATTCATCCCATACATCCAAAGCATCGCATATGCAATTAATGCATCACAACGCTTCGTGTTGCGTCACGAAGCGGTAGTTGCCTCATTCAACATGAGCAACGACCGACCGGGATTCGAAGGCCAGCCCGCGAAGGGCTCGAGGCTGCCTTGCGTCAAATAGAGCTAGGGGAGAAAACATAGATGAGCCCCAGCGGCCCTCGCTCGGTATGCTCAAAAGCAGACATGGTCATCTCAACCTTCTCGTTTGATCCTAACCTCGAGCCATGCCCACAGAATTCCCATCGAGGAGAGGCCAGCGGGCCACCTAAGTCAGTCTCTAGAACAACTCGGGCATCTACCGGGAGGCGGATTAAGGAGCAGTGGAATGCCATATGAGGGCTATGCCGACCCCGTTATGAACGACGGACCCAGATTCTGCTCGAACACACCCGTTAGTGAGCTCACCGAGAGCGTCACTCGAGCCATTAAGGCAAGCGACGTTAGCTCAGCCCTTCTGGTCATGGAAACCGCGGACGAGGTAACGCATGGAACTAGACTGACCTCTACCGAACCCAACGGGGCTCAGGGGCTCAGGTCGCCCGACGCCGACTCGAGAAATCAACCGACCGTGTAGGTCACGGGTGGGACAAACACAGGTGAACACCCTGAATGGCAGAAACACAGGAGTCTACGACCCTAGAAAATAGTGCCAAGATACTCAGACTCCAACCGACTCACCAGTCGGATGCAGGCTCGGGCGCTACACCCACCGAGTGCGCTCACGCGTACCCGCTGGCAAGTCAAAACCCCCCAGACGATTCTACCCAAATCGCCCGGGGGCTCGGGGGCTACACCCATCGGGTGCGCTCACGCGCACTCGCTGACAAAACAAAAAATCCCCCAGATGATTCGACTCAAATCGCCCAGGGGCTCAAGGGCTCCTGTCGGGTTCATAAACCTGGGGTCCCTAATGGGCCCGCTTCTCAGCAAAAGCTCGACCCAGCAGACGGCATTATAGACGACACGTAACTCTTAGGCCGGCCCAGATACCTAACGATAGGCCAGAAGAGTGATCCTGTCTCCGACCAAAAGGCCTTCGACTCCGACCGGCTTCTTCGGCCAGAAGGCCTGGCCAAGGATGGGACGACGCTCACTTCCGACACCGACCCACTTCTCCGATCGGAAGGCCTGGCCAAGGAGGGGACAACGCTCGCTTCCGACTCCGACCCACTTCTCCGACCGGAAGGCCTGGCCAAGGAGGGGACGCCGCTCGCTTCTGACTCCGAGCCGCTTCTCCAACCAGAAGTACACCGAACCTCTGCTTACAGCTCTTTCTCTGACTGGCACGGTCGGAGCCGACTGGGAACGACCGAACGGGGATGCCCGCTCGGTGAGGACCCAAGAAATCAGGCGAAGCAGATAAAGGTGAGGCGCTCAAGTCAACCGCAATACCAAGGACCGTACCCTGCACAGTTGCAGGATAGTACTGACAGTCCATGCCAAAAGAGTGCTTTACGACCTTTCAGACATGTCAGAACACAAACAATATTGTAGGCGTCGACATTTGTCCTACAGTATGATAGACGCCGACATTTGCCATATCAGAAGAATACGATAGAGCCTACCACATGCATCTGGGCGTCAACAGTCTTGTCGGCGCCGACAAACCGTCTTGTACCCGATGGCATAGGCAACAAGACTAGGAAACACACTCTCTCTCTCCCTCTCCTAACTTATAAGGCCGGCCCCTTCATCTATAAAAGAGGATGCACTCCCTCATAGAAAGAGGACGAAAAAACAGACGACCGATCATTCCAACTCCCTCTCTGCTAGCTTTAGATATTCTGAGCACTCGAACAGCTTCATAGCTCTAGAACTCTAAAGCTACACAGAGCACACGTTCCAATACTTAGCGCACGTAGGGGCTCCCGTCACTCTCGGTCCTTTAGTCCAGAGTCCGACCAGACCTCTAACACCCCTATCTTACTCTCACTCGTTTGTAACAACACAACAAACTTTGAGCACCTGGGCTCAGGAATAAAGTCACCGACTGACTCAAACTAGACGTAGGGCACGTTGCCTGAACTAGTATAAACCATGTGTCATAGAGTGCTAGGCCACGTCCGATCACAACGTATGACAAAATGACAAATATTTACTTGTTGGCCACTTTTCACACCGACACTATACGACATATGTAGAGATTCATTAAGTCATTATATGGACCTCGCTATCGATGGATATATTGCCTACCATAAAAGAATAGAACTATTGAATCCTAAAATAAATCTTGAAAAATACGGTCAACCATGTTAGCTTGAGAACTTAAACTCGACAAATTCTATCATAAAAAACCTAGCCATTAGTTCGAAACGAATAGGCATATATAATTTTGTTAAAGAAGAGTATTTTTTTATCTTTTATTAAACCATATAACATAAGTAAATTTTGTTCCCCAAACATCAATTTTGCTCATGTCATTGTAAACCATATAACCATTTTGAACTTTTTGTTTACCGATGAAGCGATTTCATTAACAATTCATGCAGTGTCTAAGGATGGATACAAAGTAAAGCATGATGTATCTACAGTAACAGACTCAAGGGCTGGATTCATCGTGATACAAACCTCGAGAAAATGAATGTTTCCGTATTGATTGAAAGGTATGGCAGAGACCCTACCCATCTAGGGCCTCGTTCGCTTGGAGGAATCTGAATAAATCTGGAGGAATTTGTGAGAGTAAATCGGTAGTGAACAGTAACTTTCAGCCGTGAACAATATAATTTTTGCACCATCCGAACGAAGCCTATATCGGGCTCTTCTCCATTATATTCGTCATTTTATTTGCGAGAATGAATGTTTGTTTTCCCATAAAACAGAATTGGTTTAAACATTTTTGTCCTATTGTAAAACGATTTTCCAAAGTTGTCCTTGGGAGTACGATGATATGTTATTTTTGAATTTCATATATTAATTAAGTGTATTAAATACGTAAATAAATAAATAAGATAAATGAAAGAATAAAAAAATCCTGTCGCCTGCGACCAAAAGGAAAAAAAAAAAAAACTCACCCCCGCCCGCCGAAAAAAGGAACCCAAAACGGCGTGCGGCGCGGCCGGCTGACCCCAACTCCGTCCGCTCGCACAGGCGGAACCCAACCAAACCCACCCCCACCCCCACCCCGACCAAACCGCCCGAGCCGCCGCCAGCCTAGCCCACGCTGTTGTTCTCCTCTGCCTGTCCCAGTCGCCTTGCCCCCGTCCCTTTCCCCCTCGGCGTCGTCAACCCACCGCACCGCACCCTCACCCGCTGCTGCACGCCCGCAGGCCGCAGCTCCCTCCCTCGCTTCCTGCACCCACCGCCCGCGGCGCTGCCCAGATCTCGCTCGCCGGTGGTGGCCCCCCACCCGCCGCTGGCGCCGCCGGAGCGAGGGGGGACTGCGCAAACCCTAGTAGGACTAGCATTCGGAAGCGGAGGGGCGCGAGATCCGGCGGCGGCCGCCTCGATGGGGGACTTCAACGTGGCGCTGGTGATCGTGGCGGCGGTGGTGAGCGTGCTGGTGCTGCTCGTCAACTACCAGCACCCCGACGACGCCAACCAGGCCTACTTCCCCAAGCGCGTCGTCGTGCTCGGCCTCACCGTCGCCGTCCTCTCCATCCTCATGCTCCCCGCCGACGTCGCCAACCGCCAGGCATGCCGCAAGGCCGTCTACAACGGGGCTTGCAACCTCACGCTCCCCATGAAGACGCTCTGGCTCGTCGTCTACATCGTCGACGCCGTCTTCGTCTTCCTCGTCATCCCTTTCGCCATGTTCTACTACGAGGGCGGCCAGGACAAGTAACCTGCTCCCCCCTCGCCGCTTCCCTCCTCCTATTGCCTGCGTCTCCATCCCTCCTTCTTCTTCATCCCCGCTGATGGTTTGGATCCGCCTTCCCTGCAGGTCCGTCGGGAAGAGGCTCAGGACCGCTCTCATGTGGGTCGTCGCGTCCGCGGTGGTGCGGCCTCGTCCTCGGCATCTTATACGGTGCGCGCGGATCAGTCCATGCTCCCCCGTTCCTCTCCTCATCCCCCCACTCAGAATGCTCTTCTGATTTCTCCAGGATTGGAGTGAGATTCTGACTAAGATTACTAGCATTTTAGTGTAGTTCAGTTCAAAAAAATGTGGCATCTTTTGCCCGAATCTTGTGGTGGATTCCAGCGTGTCCCTGCATTTGGGTTCGAATTCAAGCGACAGCTTTGAGCTCTGAACCTTTTTTTTTCTTGAGTTACCAATCTTGTATCGCTACAACTGCACAGATCCGGAATTCAGTTCCCCTTGTTGCTGCCCCTCCGTGGATGGTTCTTCCTGTGCTTCATGAGCTTAGTTTAGATTTCTTTCTACTGTGTATATGTGTTGTCGATTACATAGGCATTCCTTTACACGGGGATTTTATTTAGTTTACACAACAAAAGATTAGTCTGTCTCCTTTGGTTTTACAGTCATATGACTATGGGAGAAAACTGTACTGCTTTTTTGATAGTTACATTGCATAGAATGGGTATGCCTTGATACAAACCTTATTTACCTTCTATACAGATCCTATTGCACAAATTACTGATCATTAACAACACGAGATGTTTACGGCTAAAATTTTATGTCATCTAGTGATCACCAGATATCATCAAGTTCCAAAGTTTCTGCAATGTCGAACCTTTTCAGTCTCATGATGGTGTGTGTTTACCAAAGTGGGCTGATCTCATCTCCATTTTGTCGCTTCAGGACTTGTTGGTAAAGTGGACTTCACTGTCAGGCACCTATCTTCAATGGTCCAGACATTTCCAAACTCATTTTCTGGATTCTCAAGTGGCCAGCCTTGCTTTAGTCAATTGCCCCGTGTGGTTAGTCATTGATGGAAATATGGAATTACCCTTTTCTTTGTTGATGACTTTTAGTCTGTTTCTGCTCTGTCTTTACGTTTCGCTGAACGAGTACTAGTCTCTGACTCCATCTATTTTTCAATGTGCGGCTTCTACCGCACCAGCTAACTCGTAAACAACTTGGACAATGCGTGCTACCTTCCCTGAATATGTGGTTGCTCTTACTACAATCGTTGGATCTGTGCTTTTCACGGTGAGTTTAGTTTAAACTTAATGGCTTATGTTATGGACATTTTTGGTATATGTATTGCTTTGTTCAAATTTGCCATATTTTTTAGATATGGTATAAGTTGAATCTGAAATATGAACACTGTGCTCCCCCCACCATTTAGTACTGCTGTAACCTGTAATCATGTTGTCATCTTTCTGCATTTTTTTCCTTCCATTTTGCTGACTATACTTTTGTTTGGTAGATATTTGGTGGTGTCGGAATTGCCTGCCTTCCATTGGGACTTATATTCTCATTTATCCGGCGTCCAAAAGCTGTAATTACACGCTCACAATATATAAAGGTGGGCCTACATTCTCATGTACACCGTTTTGATCATAAAGGATGCTCGCCTCACTTGTGATCAATCTTTCTGTTGCTAGTAATTATTTGGATATCAATGCTTCCTTGAGGTTAAACATGTGCCCTGCAGGAAGCAACTGAATTGGGAAAGAAGGCCAGGGAGTTGAAAAAAGCGGCTGAAGCTCTTCACCAAGAAGAAAGAAGTGGGAACAAGGGCCGGAAATGGCGCAAAAACGTGAAGGCTTTAGAAAAGGTACACATTTTTATTTATTGAAATTGCTCTTTCCAGGCATTGATAATGTTTAGCAATTACTTCCACAAAAACAACCACCATATTTAGCCTTTTACACGTGGTGTTATAAATTAACCCCAAGAGATTAGTTAATGGCATATGTCCTTTACAGATGTAGGCATGCTACTTCAAATACGTAAAAGCTAAGTACCTAGCTATATATTTAGTGTAATGGTAACAACTTAGGTTATTGAGGGTCTCTGCCTCCCTTTTAGCTACTGGGTACTCTGCGGTTTGCAATACTTAGTCTCATGTCTGTCAATGATCAGAATAAAGAAGAGTCTCATGTCTGTCAATGATCAGAATAAAGAAGATATCAATTTCAAATATTTGGTTTAAAGAAAAGTTGGAAGTATTTTTAACATGTACTCCCTCCATTCCAAATTATAAGTCGCTTTGACTTTTTTGGTTCATCCATTTTGCTATGTATCTAGACATATTATTATATCTAGACGTATAGCAAAATGGATGTACCAAAAAGGTCAAAGCGACTTGTAATTTGGAACGGAGGGAGTATTTAACTATTTATAGAAGTCATCGCATTTTGGTGTTTTGGTGGTTAACAAGTTCTCTCGTTGAGTTGGTGTCCATGTTCATGCCACATGATGTTGTTCTTGTTCATATGGTACTTGGTCCCTGATTATTGTAGTGTAGACCTTTTTCCCAACGTTCCTAAGGGGTGTACCCAGTGCAGAGAGCTCCCTCTTTGTGCGGGGTCTGGGGAAGGGTGTTAGTGGCATGCCTGGCAAGCCTTACCTTTTTGTGTATTGTAGTGACACTAACTGCTAAGTTCAATCTTTCAAATATCAGGAGTTATTACTTCTGGAAGATGACATGAAGGCTCTAGAAGAGATGTATCCTCAAGGAGAACAGGTAATCCGACGTAAATTATCATGTCATACGTTTTTTTATGTTTAAGATTCTCTCCTTGACACCTGTTATGGTACAGGCTGAGGCTACTTGGGCATTCACAGTCCTTGGGTACATTGGAAAACTTATATTTGGTGTTGTTGGGTGAGTGCAAAACTTTTGCCCTGTATCTTAATCAAGTGCACTTTCCAAAGTGATCTCTTTAAAACGTTGTTGTGCTTGCAGGTTAATTGTTTCAATAGCTTGGGTTGCACATATCGTCATATACTTGTTGATTGATCCTCCCCTATCTTCTTTCCTGAATGAAATCTTCATAAAGTTGGATGGTGTTTGGGGTATATTCTGATCTTGCATTCTTGATAACTTATGCTGCTGAGGAGAACAATCCAATTAATCTTCTGATTTATGTACCAGGTCTCCTTGTGACTGCTGCTTTCGCGTTCTTCTGCTTCTATCTCCTTATTGCAGTGATTGCTGGGGAGATGATGCTTGGTTTGAAACTTGTTTTCATCACAATTCACCCGATGAAGTAACCAGCTCATACCTTGGCATACTATTTTTTTTCCTGCAGTTTTACTTATTATAAATCTCATTAACAAACCAATCAATTTGTTTCAGATGGGGAGGCACTTTAATGAACTCCTTCCTGTTTAATGTTGGGCTCATACTACTTTGCTCCATCAGGTATGTCATCAATGCCTTACTTACGTGTTACGTTGTAACATGTTATGAATTGTTAAAGGGTTCAATTTTCATTTTCACTGAACATTATAGGGTAATGGATATTTATTACATTTCTGCAGCATGATTTGTATCTTTTCCACAATGGTCGAAACTGAATTTCATTACAAAACATGCATGATTTGTATCTGACATTGTTTTTAAGCTTTCATTTGGAAAGACAATCGTAGTCAGTTAGAATGATCATATTGGCATGTTCCTCGATCTACCATGGTTAATGGAACTATAATTTTCCTTATGTTGCATGCACTGAAGATGAAAATGACTTCTGTATGAGCACGAGTTTTGTTGATTTTACTTGGTTTAAAGAAATGTCATAACCCTTCCATGAGTATTGACTGCCTATTTTTTTTGACTTTGTATTTCGTGATTTAAAACCCCTCTTAATCTAATTATCATAATTTTCCTGCTATTCTACGTGCAGTGTAATTCAGTTCTGTGCCACGGCTTTTGCCTACTATGCACAAGCAACTGCTGCTCAAGAGATATTTGGCCACACATTGCAATCCCTTTGTGGAATTAAGTATCTTTACAAGTGAGTCTCAAATGAAGAGTGAAATTAGTTGCTTTGTTTACAGGTGTTGCAGACATTTAAAACTTGAATGTATTTTGATACTTGAACCACAAAATATGCAGGTACAATGTTTTCCAGTATGGCTTTGTTGCTCTTGCCATCCTCACACTCTTCTACTATACTATATTTGTAAGTCCTTTTCATCAAGTGCTTAGTCAATAGTCATTTACATTAATAACTATAAAAAAAAAGGTTTGACAGTTTCATTCAAGATACATAGTAAGATGCAGTTACAACAAGCCAAATTGAAGCATGCAAAGTAAAAGCATTTTTCTTTCTTTGAAACCGAAGCGACGAATTACAGAGAGAAGTCAAAATCACGTAGATAATATGTAAACACGATATAGTCTTCATATGCATTCTTTTTCAAAACGTGACAATCCCCATTTCCATTACAGAGGCAACGGAAACACAAGCAGTTTAAGACTTGTTCAGAGTAGCAAAAGAAAGTGCTAGAGGTAGCTAGACCGCATCAGGAGCTAGAGATAGTTAGACCGAAACGGAAAATAGGAACAACACACTGGTTACATCCAGGTTCAGAGACAGAACATCATAAAATTCGTGCCGATTACATAACATTGATTCTGCATCCAGCGTCTTTCCACATCCTCGTCTTGGTTACTGTCCTTGATCATCAGAACATCATGTTACCGTCCTCCTCATCTCCCTCCTTATCCACGGAAAGTCAAGATTGTCCAACCAGTTGAAAAAGCTGATGGTATGGAATGAAAACTTATTCACACCCAATAAGTTAATGTCTTCACTCATTCTTTGACACAATAAAAAAATGATGAACATTAAAAAGTAGTCCTAACTATTTTTTTTCTTAACCTCTATGTAATAACAACAATATATATGTTTATAGTTAAATTAAAATTTATGAACAGAGGTTCTGAAAATTTATGTTACAAAAGATTTTATATTAGCCCATAACATATTTTTTGTAAAGATGTTATTGAACATACTGCTGTTATTACATAAATTTTCAGAACCTCTGTTCATAAATTTTAGTTTAACTACAAACATATATATTGTTGTTATTACATAGAGGTTAAAATGGAAAAAAAATAGTTAGGACTGCTTCCCAACTTTAACACAGGTCATTTTTTTTTTAGCCTTGTGTCAAAGGATGAGAGAAGACAATAACTTATTGGGTGTGAATAAGTTTTCATTCCATAACATGCCTGCTCTTTTCAACCGGGTTTGACAACTTCTTGGCTTTCCTGTGGATAAGGAGGGATGAGGAGGACGGACCGACCAATGATGTTATGATGATGAAGGACAGTAACCAAGACGAGGATGTGGAAAGACGCTTGATGTATGCACGGATTTTGTGATGTTCTGTCTCTGAACCTGGATGTAACCAGTGTGTTGTTCCTATTTTCCGTTTCGGTCTAGCTATCTCTAGCTCCTGATGCGGTCTAGCTTCCTCTAGCGCTTTCTTTTGCTGCTCTGAACAAGTCTTAAACTGCTTGTGTTTCCGTTGCCTCTGTAATGGAAATGGGGATTGTCACGTTTTGAAAAAGAATGCATATGTTGAAGACTATATCGTGTTTACATATTTATCTACGTGATTTTGACTTCTCTTTGTAATTCGTCGCTTCGGTTTCAAAGAAAGAAAAATGCTTTTGCTTTGCATGCTTCAATTTGGCTTGTTGTAACTGCATCTTACTAGTATCTTGAATGAAACTGTCAACCATATTGAATCCTTTTAGCCAATGCCTCTTATAGAGATTCTTTTTTGTGAAACCAACACATTATTTGAAATGTCATAATTTAGGACAATATGTTGTTCAAGTTTTTCAATGACCTTGTTTTGCCCAAATGTTCACATTCACACCTGTAAAATATTCATGTGAAGAATCAATCTTAGCTTTCCACATATGATCCTTATCCTTGAGATCTTATAATATGTAAATGTTTTGAATTTGGTATGAAATTTATGCTCATTCTGATCTTAAAGTTTTAACCATTACCTAGACTCACATTCTAAAATGAAATGGTTCATCACTTAATGCTATGCAGTGTGTCTCCTGTAGTAGTTTTTAACAGCCTTCTTTGGTGTGGAAACAAAAAAGAGGAAACCAGAAAGACTTGTGTTTGCATTGCACAAGTGGTACTTTACTGCCTTCCAGTCTCTCCTTAACATACTTTACAAGGTTGATTATGCTTTAACCACCTATTGTGTGTTTGCTGAGAGTCTAAGCCTTCATCATCATCTTGTGTCTTTCAGCTGAAAACCAATAAGCATAATCACTTGACACAGTCACATATCATTAGGCTTAGTTTATGGCTTTGCAGGGTGCTGATGTTGGATCACTATGTTGATCAAGGTCTTTGACTTGATCACTTACCTAGTTTCTATCAGCAAAGATTTGGGTTGATCTACAGGTAGTTCTTCATGGCAAAAACGCCTTTCGGTCAGTGCACGCGCCCAACTCTCTTTTGCATTATTACACCGTTGCATGCTCTTGATCTTAGCCAAAAAGTTCAGGGAAGGGGATCAAAGTATTGTATTGTTATGCCTGAAAGGAACAAGTATGGGGCGTGTGTTCGATGGAGTACGCAAAGAATGGTCCAAGGTCCAAGCCTATATGCACCAAGGAAGAATCTTGGGGGATGTAGACGAGCATAATATTATTGTATATATTTGTATGAGCAAAACTACAGGCGCTGCTCTGATTTGGAACACACTGTTTCTGCATACTGAGTGGAGTGTGGGGCAGGATTAAGATATAGTAATCGTCACCCAGATCATTTGCCATTGGTTTATGTGCGTGTTGGAAGAGCAGGTGGCACCAGGAAAGGAAATATGATGGAATCCCTTATCCTTGGGGATTGCTGGTGCCATTCAAAGTACGCTTGTAGTCCACTACGTCTCTCCTGTTTCAAACTTAAGTTGCAATTAGTGTATTGTTAACTGTTATTTTCGGTGAGATCATCATATCGAGTAATAAGAGAAGCCAAGATAAGATGCCTGTATATAAGAAAATAACTGAAGGAAGCTGATGACGATGGTGAAAAAACTGGTACTGATTGATCAAAACCAATTCATCTAACATGAATTCCACCTTGATTTAGATACCCAATCACCCAGTTGTTGTATCTAGCATTGTTACTGCAAAAAATTATATCTGGCAGGTATCCTACCTAGATTTGTATAATTTGTGTATTTGTATAATCTACATGAGAAGACTAATCATGATCAGCAGTACTATTATATAAAAGAAATGGCTTTGTGCAAAAAATTATGTATTTCATCCTGCCGTCAATTTAGGATGAGCATGTGTATCTTTACACCCTACAGATATTTTTTTGCCTACGCAACATGTTGAGAAGCAGAGTAGGTGCTCCGGTAGTCATACTGCTTTCTAGAACCTATAATAAATAAAGAAGTGAGGAAGGATTAATTGTTGGCTAAACAAGGAGCTAGGATTGAGCAATGATTGCAACAACCATTTGTAGCCAAATTGGGCATCACCTTCACAGCTGATGCAGCATCTATCACCATTTGCAATTGTTTATCACCTATGTCCTCATGCCAAATCTTAACACATTTTGTTCTTTTTTCTTGGCTTTAGCATAGCAACATGAGAACAACAGGCAAAACAAGAGTCAAGCGTATTGTTGCTCAGAGGGGATCCATCAAAGTGACACTTTACCAAACCTTTTTGATGCGATTGAGAAATTGGGTGTGCTACTTCTAGTGCTACTGATCAGAGAGATTATGACCTTTTGTTGTAAATAAACTCTAATAGCTTGAACAGCATTTACAGTCTCATTGACCAGCCTAAAATACCTGTAAATGAACTGAAAATAAAATTGTTTGAAGTTTCAACCAGCTGGTAGCAAAAGTTGCTGGTGCTCTACCTAGGGCCTGTTTAGTTCAAAAAAAATTTCACCCCAAAGTGTCACATCGAATCTTGCGGCACATGCATGGAGTACTAAATATAGACGAAAAAAAAAACTAATTGCACAGTTGGGTGAGAAATCACGAGACGAAACTTTCGAACCTAATTAGTCCATAATTAGACACTAATTATCAAATACAAACGAAAGTGCTACAGTAGCCAAATCCAATTTTTTTTGGGAACTAAACGCGCCCTTAGCTTCAGAGAAGCTGAGAAAGAAAAGGAAAAAAAACGCCAAATTATTGCAGACCTTATCCTTTTACTATTCTGCACCAATAATGGGAATATTATTTGTCATAAAAACTGTCTCCTATTAGTGTAATGAGATCTTCATGGGACCCTCTTCCAGAAAACACGGCAATGAATCACAGGACAAGAGAAAATGGAGGATCACCCTGTACACTTCATTCCAAATCCTCCCCCCCGAGTAAGTGCAGAATCAAATACCCGAATTTTTATGTACAGTATACAAGTTCATGATTTTCACATGATGTTCCCTTGAAGTATCTTGTACCCTTCTACTGGTCATCAATATCTTGTACAACAATAAACATCACCTGGAAAATCAAGGGAGATTAAAGAGAAAGCACATAAACAACACAACCAAATCATTGAACAACTAACTTCTTTTTGTTACTACTGCAACCACGCACCCTCTCTTATATATAAAAAAATATATCAAAAAAAGGGAAAGAAACCACGCACACACTCTTATATATATAAAAAAAAGAAAGAAAGAAACCACGCACACTCACACAAACAACACCAAGAAAATCTCCGCGCAGATCCAAAGCCCCTATTCTTGAGCTGCAGTCTCCATCAGCTTCTTTTTTTTCGCCATCTTTTTCATGGCCGTTTGAATTTGTTTTTCGCAAATGTGACCTAGTCTTGGAGCTCGCTGCTTGCTCCCCCCCACCCACCACCACTGGGCTCTTTTAAATTTTAAATTCGATTAGTTTGAAAGCCCAACTGAAATGAAGCCCTCTAAGAACATCTCTTTCAGTTCGGCAGGACCTTTCAGTTTTCCATCCTCTAAATTATTTTCAGATGATAGCAATCCTTTTAGGTCAACAGAATTTTATTTTTTTTCAGGTTTGGTCTTTAAGTTAGCATATTAATAAGAGAGAAAATTGAGAAGTACAACAGGGAAAGCGTCTCTTCTAATTAAAACAGTGAGAATTGAGCAAAATATAGTCACATAGCAATTAGCCATTAATTGGGCTTTGCTAAGTCTCACTTCTTGTTTCTTCA